AGTGGGTAAATCAAACCTGAGTTGGAGTCCCAGCACCCGGGGAAAACCAGATGCCGCAATGCATATCTGGGGATGAGGGGCAAAGACAGAAAGAGCCCTAGAGCTCAGTCAGCTTAAATAACCAGGGAACTTCAGGTTCAATGAAAGATTCTGTCTCAAAACAATAAGGTGAAGAGCGACACAGGAAGAGGACTGACGTTAGCCTCTGTCTCCCACACACATGGGGAAACATACAAAATACATACACCACATACACACACACAAATTAAGAAGCCTATTAGCAACCCTTCATGGGAAGATATCATACAGGCTGTTCTGTCCTACATGTAACCGAACATGTAGCAATATATTACAAAAGTAACATGAGACCAGTTACTTTTGTTCAGAGTTCATTGATAAACTTGATTTGGATTATCACTGCATTGGTTTGATTAAGCCAGAGGCCGCAGTCACCCTGTGATTGTGGTCCATACAAGCACATGCGGCATAAAATAGCCCCTGTGCATTCAGGTGTCAGGAGAAGTGTTAAGAATTGGCATGAGCATAGCTAAAACAAGGCAGCATCTCTATGTGTTTACACACAAGGCAGATTCATTGACTGGAGCTGCCTTTCAGAACACTGGACACTGCAGAATCATTTAGGGCCAAACCTACCAACAGGATTCCTCTGGTTCCACAGCAGACGGACTGGGATGGGAAATCCCACAATAGCAGAGTTGGCTGTCGAAACCACTGCTTATTTCCAGTGAGTCATGGGATGGTTTGACTAGACCAAGGGCCAAAGATAGTAGGAGTGTTAGTATCTCTGCCCAGCACCTCCAGGGTCTAGAACCCCAAGATGAACCTCTAGTTAGGGGCTGACTCATTTCCCAGAAACAGGTAATTCAAAAGGGCCCCATGGCTGGTCTACCAGGACAGCCTCCAGTGCTACTGGCTACTTGAGTGCCCAGTCAGATTTGATGAAATTCCCATTTAACTCAACAGAATGGCTGTCTAGATAACCCCTCAATAGTCCAGTTCTGAGCCAAACTTCCTTTCAGATAGTGGCTAGCCAAGGGGTAAAGAATGTTTTTTATGGTCTTTAAGATTGGACCACATTTTGTTCAAGACTTTTGATGTGAGTGGCTGATGATCCCTTTGTCTTATCAGAATTCATGAACTTTTCTAGACCATTTGTTGGGTGCCTATCAGCATAAAATCAGCAACGTAATGGAACAGTTTTTCTGCAGCTCAACACGCTTTGAGGGCTCAGTCAGGAGAAGGTTCTTCATCTTTGACTCCAAATAGAATTAAGAAAAGGACAAGAGCCAGGTCCAAGATGGCACAGCACATGCTATCTGAGCCAACTGATTCATTTCCAGTCACAGTACCTGAATGCTCAGGATTCTGGGCTGTAGGCAAGAACAGCCAACACAATAATGTGAACCGAATACAGTTGGCGGCCATCCACTGGTCTCCAGATCCCATTAGCTTTTTGTTACCGGCCATGCAGGGTGATTATATTGAGATGCTGCATTTTTCATTAGTTTTATTGCATTTGCATCCTTTCATCAAGGCTGTGGTTTCCTTTTCTCTTCCTAGAATTCTAAATGGTTTCCTTTTAAAACATGGAAGGGAACCAAAAGCTAAGCTGTGACCTGTCTCATGTGTGTCCTACAATCATCTCTATACAAATGGTCCTCATGGAGCAGAACAATCTCCCTCACCCCTGATACCATAAACATCCACAGAGCAAGCACACCGGTTATCAGTATCAGTTAAACTGTTCACCTTGGGGAAAGCAAAAGCAAAGGGTCCAATCAACTTCACCCAATGCTCATAATTACCCCTATCCCATTTTAATTCTGTTTAAATTCTCTCTGGCTATATCTATGGCACTTGATCCCAAGAGAAACCAGTCCTTAGTGATCTGGCATATTGCAAAAAGACATAAAATCTCATGTTCACCCCAAACCCTGAATGTCACTCACCAGTTCCATTGTGCCCTCCATGGAGTGAGCCCTTCCATCCTCCAGGATCAGGCAAGAGAGGCTCTGAAGAGGCAATGCGCTCTGAGGCACCCAAGCAGTGGTTTCCTAGTTCCTCTGTTGATCTTCACAAAGGATCTAGGTTCCCTAGAAACATGACTTTCACTGTGAGAACCACCTTCCTTTGGGGAGGCTGGGGAATGGGACATCATATTATGTTATGTGGATGGAATTTCTAGTGATCATTCAAACTCTTATCTCTGTAGTCCTTGTTTTCACAGGCATATCCACCTTGCTTTATGATTGGGTCCCTTTGCAAGAAGTTGGTTTGGGGCATCCTGAACTCTGTTTTGGATTCCTGGTATGTTCCTGACTTAGGGGGTGATATCTTTGCCCAGAGTGTCTTATGACCTTAAGTAAGCAAGATACTAGTATAGATCTCTTAGCCTCAATGGTGGTGGCATCTTTGACCTTACAGGAAAAGGCAGTCTTACAAATTCCACAGTCATGCTCCTGGACAAAAGATTATTCTGTTCAGGACAAATTCAGTCAAGAGTAACTTTAGCTCTCACATTTTAAATATCTTCCCCATGGAATCTCATGCAATTTGGCTGACTCAGGGGCTTCTGGTGTTGACCATAAGGCATGCATTAATACAGAAATCCAGAATAGCCATCCTCCTTGTGGGGCATGAATCCATCTCAGGAACATAATAGGCACTGTGCTTAAACATAGAGACTCATGTGCAATTATCCAGGTTTTGCTGGCGGCTATGTAAAAGTACAACTTTTACCACTCCATCATCTACAGAAATCCAGAATAGCCATCCTCCTTGTGGGGCATGAATCCATCTCAGAAACATAATAGGCACTGTGCTTAAACACAGAGACTCATGTGCAATTATCCAGGTTTTGCTGGCGGCTATGTAAAAGTGCAACCTTTACCACTCCATCACCACAATAGTAGGAGAACAACAGCTCACAACTCACAGCCTATTGATCAGAGCATCTGTTATTCCTTTGCCCGTCACTAACGATTTACATGATGGTACTCTCTATTGGGACACGTTGACTTTCAGATATTTCTACTCGTGACTTAGCTCTTGGTACAGTTGTACTTCCCTCCCTATGAGGTCCAAGGTATCTCCTCCTCCCATGTGGCAACTATAAACACTTGGTAAATTTTACTCCTCTTCTAGCAGGCTCCATCCATTGACGCAACTCATTTTCATCAGCAGATAGGACAGAGATGGACTATCCACAGCTCCCTCCTGCACCATGTAGGCCAGAAACAGTTCTACCAGCTCCAGAAAGTGTACACGTGACTTATCCCTTTAAAATCTATTTTGGTATCCTGAACTTTATACCATTTTGTCTGGTGCTGAATCTCAACTTCTTAGAAGATGGCAGAAAGCAAAAGACTCCAAAGGAGAAGACTAAGCAAGCAGGCAGGTGGCTTCACTGCAGTGCTCTAGGGACTATGCAAGAAAATCAAAAGTCTCAGTTCACTATCACACAACAAACAGCAGATGTGTGAGCACAGTGGTGCCTCTTCCCCTGTCCATAAAATCCCACAGGGCAGTGCAAAGGGACCAGATGGCAGCTACACACACAATGAGTTCTGTCACAATTGACAGACCCACAGCCAAAATGCCAGCACCTGCTAGAGCAGTAACCAAGCCTCATCTAAGCAAGTGCTGACACAGTGGTCAGAGCTCGGTCTGCCTGGGCCAACTCAGCTTCCTGCATGGCAAGTTACAGTAAAAGCCAGTTCGGAGAAGGCTGTATGATGGCATTGTCAGTACGGGTGTACGGGAACCTCCAGTCCATGATGGCCTGCCCCTCCTGATGGAGACAGCAATCTAATCAAAGACCAGGACTTTGTTCGTAGAAAACACACACTGACAAAGTGCTTAATACTTAAAAATGTAATATCCATGACTGTGTGTGTGCACAGGCTGTGTCTGTGTGTGAGAAGGAACGAGACAGAGAGAAAGTCAAGGCCAAGCAAGTGGGATGACTGTGAGCATGTGAATCTGTGTGGTGAGTACATAGGGTCCTTTGTTCCATTTGATTCTTGCCCCTCCTGAAGTTTAAAACTTACACAAATATAGTGGTTTTTGTGAAAAGACCTTGCAACCCTTGATTCTTACTGTGTCAACACCGCTCATTCCTCACCAGTTACAATATCAGCAAAAACAATAGTTGCTTTGTTGAAAGACACTCTTATTTGAAAATAAACAAGCCACATTTTCACATATATGAACAGAATTCATGTTGCTACTCGATGTGTATGCTTCACAGTGGGAGTGAGATGGCTCTGTACTCCACACCTGCTACTTGAGGGTGAAAATTGAAAGAAATTTTGAGAATCAGGTGTGAAAATAAAAATCTTTTCATCTAGAAATAAATTGAACAAATCATTAAATTTCTTTTTGAAATCTTGGTCAAGTCATAGATGATTTAAAATGAAGGAAAAGGAAAAGAACAGAGGGTGAGGAAGAATTTGGTTTAAATGTGTTTTCTCAAACTTGTCAGAAGCTGAGGCAGGAAGATCTCAAGTTCAAACTCAGTCTGGTTTACTGCATAAGAGTCTATCTCCAAAAAATTAAAAATGAACCTGGGCACAGTAGCATGTGCCTTTAATCCAAACCCTCAGGAGGCAGAGGCAGGTGGATCTCTGTGTGATCAAAGCCAGTCTGGTCTACATAGTAAGTTTCAGGCAGGACTAGGGAGAGTCTGTCAAAAAAAATAAAATAAAACCAACCAAAAAATATCTTTCATCATATTTTTCAAAGTAACCATTATCAATACCTTTGTAATAAGTGGTGTACACAAAAACATATTCATAAGGACCCCAGAGATATTGATAATGACTGAAATATTAATGTCTTAGCAATTTGCAAAAGTGGGTTGCAGATAAAGGTATCCACGACCATGTTCAGTACTGTTCTCACAACCAGAAGATGTTCAGTCATGTGCTCTGTGACCGGCCCTGAAGTAATCACTGCCTTTACCTTTTCTCTCCTTTCAGCTAGAAAATCTGGAAGCAGAAATGGCCCCACTGCCCTAACAGGGCCCCGCGCCATCCAGACCCTCACTGAGCTTATAGGTTACCGTCGACATGGAAGCAAGTTGGTGTCAGGGTGTGTAGGAGGCTCTGATTTCCTAGGAAACAGTCCCATCCTGAGTCATTGTAAGTCTGTCCTCTCTGGCTACTCCAGTTTGCCCATGAGCGACATTCAAACTGCATCAAACATACCCGGAAGATGAGAATACACCACCCTTGTGAATCCAGCTCATGTACATGACCACCAGGAATACACCCAGCGGACCACAATCCTCAGCAGTATGTGAATTGGTGTCATCATAGAAGGAGACCCTTTTGTATGTAGTATTCTATTTTCAAGCAAATACTTATGACCTCATCAAAGAAAAACCATAAGTTGTTAAATTCACTGTAGTAACATGTAAAGTAAATGCTACCTCTGACTTCTGACCTCTGACCCAGTCACCTTTTGTGGAACGTTCCAATCTTTCGAGTCTTCTGTGAAAGAATTCGTTATTTTTGACCTGTAGTGTTCACCCTGAAATGATCATCTGGTTAAGGCATCACTGCACCTCCACTGCTTGGTTTTGTAGTGTTTGAAAGAACACAGCATCTTACTCCCCCTAGCTCCATAATGAAAATTAGCAGTAATTTGAAACCCAGTGATGCATCTGTCAGCTGCAGATTAGTTGATTCTCATAGTAAAAGTTCTTCCTGGGAGTTACAGTGCGGCCTGTCAGAGGTCTTTAATGTTTGTTCTCTACGTGAATCTCTTGACGTCATCTAAGTCTCTACGTGAAACCCTTGACGTCATCTAAGTGCTCCCAAGGAATAGTTCAAGAAATCACCCAGTGACCGCATCACTCCATTCACACAGGCAGTCAAGCATTTTGCATTCTTCCTTTTCCAATAATTTCTCCATAGTGCACGCATTTTCTCTTTGTACATTACTTTCTCCGATGTCTTTTCAGTCAGTGTGATAAAACAGTAGATGTTTTTGTCAAGTTCCAGGAAAGTTTGAGAATTTTTAAAAAATATATGGACCCAATAAATATAATTACAAGACAAACTCGAGCACCGTATAGAAAAGTATGCGATCTGTTTTTCAACCCTGTATGGTTTCTTCTACGTGAAATATTAACAACACCCTAAAGTTCTTTCCCTGAAGATTTACATTCACATATCATAACCAATATTTTGCCTTTCTGTTCTCTGTTAAATGTCTCTGTAAGACATCAGTCTTCAACAGTTTCTCTACCAGTCTCCTCTCTGACTGGTTTTCTTTGTTGTGACATGCATTTGAGATTTAGCAATCACCCATTTTATTAGAACTGTGAAAACAGCCAAGTCAGATGGCTCATGCCAAGGAGTTCTCCGTTTGAACATTTGTCAGTATTGATGAGATGAATCGAATCCTTTTCATTATCTATGGAGACGGAAGAAGGATACCAGGGCCCAGCTCCCTTACAAGCACCACAGAGCCTGCAAGCAGCCAGCAGATCCAGCTCTAAAACATTCATCCCTTCCTCTGTCTAACAAGGTACAAACACGCACCAGACGTACAAAGGCAGTGTTTCTGGAAGACAGCTGTCGTGGGGTCAGAATAACCGAATTTACTGTCTCATATCTGATCAGCTATAATTATGTGGACCCAGCCATGTATCCATTAGAGGAGGAAAAAAATCCAAGATAAGTGTTTTAATGTTTCCTTTCAATGATGTCTCACATTTGCCTCTAATAACCTCCATTTCTCAGAGATTATGTCCCAGGATAGATGGGCATTATGTTAGTTTTTACATTTTCTGAGAGAAGTAATTAAAACCAAAACCCTAAAAAGATTTAGAATTTTAAAATGAATAATGCAAATGTTCATTGGGGGAATTAAATACTTGTATATAATTACCAGGGACTAAAACTCCTGCTTTTAGCATGGTATGTGACACAAGTTCTCTCAAGGGATGGAGGAGCATTGCTTTCTTCTTCTCGGGCTGCTTTATAACTGTCACTATTTCTGTGTAATGACCTACTCGTGGTCTGAATGAGCTGGCACATGACAGAGAACAAATTGCCCTGATATAAAACTTCACTCGTATTGTTTTTTTCTACAAATATTATACATGTGCAAGGCTCTTCTATGTCATCTTTTAAACTCTAGAAATAATACACAATGAAGGAGTTCATTTTTATTTTATTTATTATCTTTATTTTATGTGTATGTCTATGGCAAGCATATACATAAGTGCACCCATGTTATGCAATGCCTGCAGAGGTCAGAAGAAGGCATCGGATCCCCTGGAAATAGAGTTACAGGTGGTTGTTAGCCTCCATGTGGGTGCTGTAAATCAAACTCCAGTCCTCGGCAAGAGCAGCCAGCGCTCTTAACAGCTGAGCCACCTCTCCAGTCCCAAAAGAGGTTCATTTCAAAAACACATTCTAAAGCACTTAAGGTATGGTCAATATTTTGCACGGAAAGCCATTCTCAATGCCCACGTGCTAGAACAGGCTTGCAATTCCATGGCAAATAGATTTAAAACCCCACGTTAGTCAGAAGGGCTAAAATGTCTTGCAAAATCTGAAGGTAAAGAAAATGGAAGTTCCTGCCTTGTTCTTCCTTCTGATTTCACCTTAACCATGAAGATGAAGCTTCTTTCTAATCTGCTAACCCAAAATGGAGGCTGCTGAGAAGGGGAAGGCTTGCAGCACTGCTTGTAGTAGAAGTAGTTTGCTGGGTTCGAGGCTCATGGTGCCCCGTCTTCCTTCAGTCTTGACTTTGACGGCTATTTTCCTTCTGCATCCTTCTGTCCTGACCAATCTCTAGAAAGGGAAGAGGAAGCAAGATGAGACATAATCAGAGAAAGGGTTATTCTGAAATCCATGCCAGAAGGGCTCAGAGGGGACTTTTGATTTGAACCCTTTGCTATAATATGCTGGATATGTCTTCCTCTGATGACATTGAAGAAGACAGTTTAGAGGAGATACTAAAATGTTTAAGTTGGAAGGTCATATAGATATCTGAACACAGTGTGATATTTTTTAGTTTTTTGGTTTATGCTTTTGAGCAACCACTTCAGTCCTCCTGCCTCAGCCTCCTTGAAAGGGTGGGCAACACAGTGACCTTCTTGAACCACCATCAGGATCAAATGACATAATACGATAAAAAAAAATAAGCTTGGTCTGTCATGAAATAAATGTTTCCTATTATAAATTAAAATTATCAGTGCTGAAAAACAAACAATGACCCGAAGAAGCTTGGAGTCACCATCCATGTCCACCTTTGCATAACACTAAGAACCTCTTTCTGCCTAGTTTCAGATGACTCAGATTTTATCTAAGATGTCTGTCACTAAGGTTTAAGGAAGAAGCCCAGGAAAGGGTCCAACTTTGTGACATCTATTCAGCAGCCAAATGAATTTTATTAGAAATAATTTCAACCTACAGTTGTTGTTCCCCATTGTCATCAAATTATTAAAAGTTCTTAGAATTACATGCATGGCCCACTGTTCAGGAAGTGAGCAAGCCCAGAAGCAGATGGCTCCTTGTGTTCATTGTGTGACCATGTTCAGATCTTACCATGTAAGGCCATGGCATTTCTTAGAGTGAGCAGATGAGTCAAGTTCAGTTTAATTCAGTTGGTATTGCTATATTTAGACATTTGCATTACAAACATGCAGACCACTGAAACGGAGAATCGGGACTATGAAAAGTGTGTTGGAGTGGACTGAAGGTATGTCCTATAACAAGACCCTTTTCAAATAGTATTCACTTGATGCTGTGTAAGTATCTAAAGGAATCTGGGCACTTGGAAAACTTGAAGTTAAATACATCAGACCAGGAAGGCAACTGTATGTAAGATGCTTCTAGACCCTGGGCACATATTCTAAAAGAAGATTGATTTTTCAGGCTTCTCATTACATATGTAATAATAATTCAATAATATAATTTTCAAATAACTTTGCATTTCCTTTAACTTTGTGCTATGTGAGAACTTCATTAAAATCTACATTTGGAATTGTACTTAAATTTTGCAAAATGACAGAGGAAGGCAGGAAGGGCACTGCTCTTCCCAGCTGTGCCCAACCCACATAGTCCAGAATAGCTCTGAACGCAGCCCAACCTAAAATCATAAACTTACTTAAAATATTATGAGTTTTTTGTAAATTTTTGTATCTCAGTGGAGCAGTTCTTGACCCTGACCTTTGCAGATAACACTGGTAACATAACAATGTCAAAGCATTGAACACATCATAGAGTCTACAATTTGAGAGAAGTTCTGGTTTGTATTTTCAGAGTCAACCCACCTGTAAACCAATACTTCGTGTACAGTTATATTTCCAAGTTCCAGCCTCCACACCAGGAGTCCCACAGCCCCCTGTGTTTGCAGAACGGGATTCCTTTTCTCTCTCACTCACCAGAAATTTAGTACGTCTCCAGTCCAGTCACATCAAAGACAACCTTATCTGCTGAAATTAAAGTGAAACTTCATGGTAAGATGCCCTCAGTGCATACTGCTAGAGTTGAGGCAAGTCCAGATTACTTATTTGTGAAATGCTAGAGAAAAATCAAACAGAACAGTATCAGGTAAGAAAGGGAGGTGGGCAATGATTCCTTTTGGTTATCCTATCATTGGGATTATTTGGCAGCACACCTTGCTGCTATTCAGAGATGTAGTTGACATCAGCTCCCTCTATCCAAGGAAATTAGCTTTAAAATGCTCAGATGGTTTGTAGAGCAGGTAGGTAAAGAAGTGCACAGGTTCTATAGCATTGATCAAACCCGAAATGGAACCCACCCAAGACCACAATTGAGTACAAGCAATTGCAGGAGGTAGTTCTGCAGCCCCGAGATTCAAGGAAACATGTCCTTTCTTCTTCCTCTTTCCTTTCCTTTCTTCTTTTTCTGTAGAGCAGGTAGGTAAAGAAGTGCACAGGTTCTATAGCATTGATCAAACCAGAAATGGAACCCACCCAAGACCATAGTTGAGTACAAGCAATTGCAGGAGGTAGTTCTGCAGCCCCGAGTTTCAAGGAAACATCTGTCCTTTCTTCTTCCTCTTTCCTTTCCTTTCTTCTTTTTTTTAAGACACACCTACTCCATGTCCCAGGCTATCTTCAAACTCATCATACAGCCTGAGCTGGCCTTGAACCTGTGATCCTCCTGCTTCAGCCTCCTCAGTGATGTGTTTATAGTTATATAGCATCACACCGAACCAAAATATGCAACCTTTGTTAGAATAACATAAGCATGATGCCAGCACTTGGGAGGCAGAGGAAAGCAGATCTC